AGGCTAGAATCAATCTTGTAATGGCGATGCAGGACAACGCAGGGTCCACTCGGTGGGGCGTTGATGATGTCAGAGCAATTCAATGCTGATATCGATTCCCACACACACAGTGGGAAAGACTGTGGTAATCAATGCCCTTATCAATCACTCAATCAACCTTTATGAACTGCTACATGTCCTTCAAACAAGCGTGTCACTACTGTAGCAAAACTGCTGTTTGGGGGTCATGTAAAGATTTATTCTCATTTCACGAACATTTATCTTTTTTTCTGTGCCATGGGAATGTGAAGTCAAAGTCATTTTCACTAAGAAAATTATAGCATTTTGTACAGGTATTGATCAAACTGTGAATTGCTCTGCTCAGTGTAACACAATTATATAACCCAAGTTTAGTTATTCTTTCAAATAGAAGTTTGATTATTTCTGTCTCAGGCCAAGAAAAAACTTTTCGTTCATGACTCAATGCAGAGATATTCATAATGGCAGCGCAGTCAGAGTTCAATGAGTGGGCTAGAAGAGACAAAGCTAAGTGACTTGCTTGTCATTCCAGTGCCACTTAGTTTTCAACAACATAATTGTTCTCAACCCCTAGCACTGTTCTGAATCCCAACACATTTCACAAATGATCTGTCAGCAGAGTAGGTCTGAAAACATGTCTGAAAACAGCTACTTTGATTTCAGGTAAGATACATTTAATTTTTCTAAAGCCAACTTCGTTTTCTGTAGCTTTGGCCCTGCTTTGTATGTGCGTCTGAGCAATTATTTACATAAGAAATGCAAAAGCCATGCGGCTCTGTTGCAAAAAGGAATAGGAATTAGTTTTATGCTCTCAGATTGAATAAATATGTTTGTGTGTTTTTTGTTGCATGTTCTTGTTTGTTTAGTTAAGTTTTAACAATATTGTATCATAATTATCACTGAATGGCTAAACTTATTCTTATTTTAGTGTATGCAACATCTTCTAGCTACAAACTCACTACTCTTAATTTTATTTATTTCCATTCATTTTTATGCTTTTTCCCGACACTGTTAAAACATGCATGAACAGACACTGAAATATAAAGTAAAAGGACATACAGTTCTGTACAGTGTGTGAGAAGGATTATTTGATCATGCAGCCATCTTATGTGTTTCATAAGATGAGATATCTCATCGGTACAGTGTCAGTCAGAGAGGATGATTCTTCACGGCGTTGAGACTAGCGGCTGATCAGTGGGTGAGAAGCTCGGGAGTGCAGAGCAGTATGTAGGTTAGCTGTCAGGAAATTAAGCCTATTAACTGCTTATGTAACACGTCACACATTTGGCTGTGTGTCGCACGTGTATTTTCATCCAATATTTCTTATGTGGCATTAGGCAAAGACAGGCAGACTTTTGTAAAGATGGTGCACTCAGTAGGAAGTTCTTGCACAACCCTGATATTACTTATATTAGTTTTGCCGCAGTGTTTCTGTTTTCATATGCAAAGAATAGTTTTAGTAAAGTATATATTCATTATAATAAATATACTGTCCACATCTGTTCTTACATATATGCAGGAAGCAAAACAGTTTACTTTTCTACTTTAAACAGCATGAGTAGCTGAGAGCTGAGAGTCTACAGCTATGCCAGTGGTGATGCTTTGAGCTAAATGCAAATGTCAATATGCTAATATGCTCACAACCTAACACTCTGATGATTTGTAGTGGATTTTGAGATGATGGTTAAGGTACTTATGGTTATAGTCAGGTGATTACACAATTCATCCTGCGGGAACGTCTGAACCAAATCTTTAGACAATCCATCCAAATAGTTGTTGAATCAAGACATTTTACTCAAAACCAAAAATTTCTGACTTCCTGGTCACGCTGGAGGAAAAGTCAGTGGATCACTAGAACACATCACCTGGGAACCATGAATGTTCATACAAAATGGCAAATGTAAATGCTCCGTATTTCTATAGCGCCTTTCTAGTCATTTCAACAACTCAAAATGCTTTTACACTACATCTGCATTCACACACTGGCAGAACAGCCACCAGAGGCAATTCAGGATTCAGTATCTTGGCCAGCCTGGAGGAGCCAAGGATTGAACCGCTGACCTTCCAATTAATGGGCAACCTGCTCCACCTCTTGAGCCACAGCCACCATCTAAGCAACCCAGCCAATAGTTCTTGAAATATTTCATTGTGAACTAAGATAGATACTAAAATAAATCTGATCATAAAATCCAAAATCAGAGGAAAATAAAATCACGATCACCTCATTTAATTGAAATGGGATCTTTGGAACGTGTAAAAACAATAAACGATTGGCTGCCTAACATGAAAGAAAAAAAAGGACTAAAAGCAATATTTTAGAAAATTCTGATTTAGTTTTAAATACATGTTCAATCATTTGTATTTTTCTGTTCTCATAGTGCTTGAATAGTGAGGTAGGGGGCAGGGAGGTGTGTCCAGTCTGCACACTGAGCTGGACCTTTGCCCACTCTAATCATCCGGCTATTAGGGCCATCAGTGCATCTCCATCCTTGGTTCAGCTTCCAGGAGCCATTTGTGAAGCAGCAGAGCAGGAAATGAGGTTGGTTTGCTGCAGTTGCGGAAGCCTGGAGGATGTGCTCAAGGGAGCCACACTCCCTCCCAGATGGAGAGCAAAGGGGCCATCAGTAGGAGGTGGAGGTGAAGACAGAGCTGAGAGTTGCACTGCATTTGTAATGGACAAAGACATCACGGACCCCCAGATTTATTTTTCGGCAAAAACCAAGGACAACTGAGTGATGAGGTTTTATGGGACAGTCAAAGCACTGGACGTATTATAGTTCCTCTTTTAAACATGAAAAATGACTCCTCAGCTCTCTTGATAGAGAGTTTCTGTAGGTTTTCCTTCTTCTAATTTGTATCCTTCTATTTATCCAGTGAAAATAAAAACAATTTGTCCTGCTACATTGATTTACTTTCCTTTAAGGTCTTTGCCAAAAATTGTTGAGATATCACATAACAGCTCATTACAGTACGAACATCAATTGAAATAGCAGTTTGTCCTAAGTATATTTGTCATATGTCAATACCCACCTTTTTATGTATATAAATCAAAAACGGTTTTGAGCCATTCTCTGTGGTTGACAAGATCACAAACTGAGTCTTAAAAAAGATTTAATAAATAAACAAATACATTACAATAGTCGCCTGTTAGCCCTCCAGTCACAGGCCTGAGGTAAAAGCCCATAAGCACAGCACAGCAGTAAGGGGCAGGAGCAATAAATGTTATGCTGAGCAGCTGCCAACAATATTTCAGCGATGTGAGGCCTCCATATGACATCAACCTGACTCCAAGCTGGACTGAAGTAGACGTTTCAGTGACGGGATTGGTTTTCAGTAGAAGAAGAGCAGAAGTTCTTAAGAGAGTTCTTAAGAGTTTTGTGAGAGAAATCAAGCATATCTGATAATAACTACAGAGCATTCATGATGTTAAACAGAGGGACTTTAGTTAATGACACCTAAAATAATACCAAATGACAAAAAGCACCTTTTAATTTGCTATTCTAAAGGATAACATCAGGTTACCTTAAACTTTTTTAAGGATGCTGAATTCAAAAGGTTGACTGAGTTGGGGTAATAATAAGGTATAACTTGTAGTTTTAACTGTTTTGTTAAATAACAAGAAATTGCTCAGTGAGAGTTTTTCTCTCTCTGATAGATACTTGCCTCTGAGTGTTTAGGGGAAAACAATCACTATGCCATCTGTTAGTCTGCGTGATAAATTAACAGCTTCACTGCTTGAGCAATTATTTTCTGACAGTTTGAGCAGAATCAATAATTTGCAGACTCATAGCTGCATGAAATCTCGCTTTTCCTCCACGTGAAAAAGTTGCTAAAGGATGTAATTGGGCAAAGTTTTACTTGCACTGTCATGAATGTAACATGACACAATTGCAAGACAAATAATAATTTGGCAAAACAAAATTAAGATTACATTTCCTCTAAACATGCCTAACAGAGGAGGACTTTTTTTTTTCTTCATTGACCTTTACTGGATCCCCAATTGGCCTTTATGTATGGAGCTACGTTTTTTATTTCAAGTAGGGATCATGAGATTCTGATTTAATAGGCCATCAAGTCTGTAGCAGGTAAGGGATGTAATATTCCAGGGGGAAAAACAATCCCTTAGTTATGAATGTTACTAAAAACATGAACAAAAAAGTTAGTTATTTCTAAATAATCATTTTACAATATGTTGTGATAAATATTTATTAAGTCATGTATAAATAGGCTATTTATTACAACACTCCATCAGTTCTAATGAGTTAAAGACTCAACAGGTGTTGAAAGAGCAGTTTTGTGATATATGAGGTGTGAAAATTGTGTTTTCTGTCTGTACAGGTATGTGAGGTAGACTAAACAGCTAAGGATGTAGTTAAACAGGTGTGGATATATTGCAAGTGGTTGAATGAGTGTTAGTAAACTAAACAGGTGTGGATGTTGAGGTTTCATGTAGACAAGTATCTGTAAGGTAGAATAACCATCATTACGTAAAATGTGGAAAGTTTTGCTGCTTTTCAGTGAACTCAGAACTCAAAAAAGTGTGAACTGGGGGCAAATCCAATGTTATTAGCTAGCTTACAGTACAATATCTCTGAAAATCATCTTCTCTGCACAAAAGTTATTCAGGAAAATTTGATAATTAGAAAAATATACAACAATTCATGACTTTTGCAGATTAGTAACTGATGTAGCTAGACGGGAACGAAAGTAAGGAGTAAGTATATTTATGTCACTCGTTTTCATGAAAATGTAATGCACCTGTAATGCTTTGAGGTCCTAAGTTGGAAATTTTGTAAACAAACGGCATTTAAAAATTCCTGACCTCCAGCTGTGACTGTAAGGCATCATCAGTCACCACCTCTCAGGAATCACTAGCAGGGGTTTGGCAAAACCAGTGACTGAGCTGGGTGTGTTTGGGCCCCAGCGAGGGAAACTGATGATTGTTCAAATATATCAAAATAATTGGTTCATTGATGTAAACATTCTAGCAAACATTCTAGCAAACATGTGTATTTTAAACCAGGCTGTAGCTGGATGTCATCAGCCTCTGAACTGAACTCTCAGTCCGGCTCTGGCTCAGCCCCACGGCGGCTCTTTCCCCCAGCAGAGCCTTTGTAATGGGACACTGCTAAATGATGCTCCAGTGCAGTCATGGCCTGTTACACCTGACTCGCTCCTCGCTGCACTCGCCTGTTGTTAGCTCGTCTTCTCCAGGCTAATTTATGACCCTTCCAGACTCACCGGCTACGAATTACTCAAACTAATCACGTGAGCCTGATAACTTCTTTATGCATTCCTTGTTCTTGATATGTGAAACATAGCAGAGGAGGTTGGAGCACACAGGAACTACACTTTGCTGGCTAATGCTATCATGCACTTAAAGAAGAGTAAGTATGATGATGACTTTTCAGGTTTGATGTCACTAAATACCTCTTCTAATGCTAAAAAAAAAACACTGTTTGTGTGGCTGGTCTAAAAACACGTGCATCCTTTACTTGCAAAGTGTCAGCTTGGCTACTTCATTTGGATTTCTTATTTGCAGCTTTGGGAGTGGCTGCAGCTGTGTATATGTGATTTCCTGTGCAGTATGTGTGTGTATATCTGTGTGTATGTGTCTACATGTATGCTTTACCCTACTACCCTTACTATCCATGTGTCTCTGTTCGCTCTGGTACCTCTCACCATCAGTAAGGTCAGTAAATATGATATTGATCATTGCTATGATTTGCCAGAATGTAAATCTGTAGAGAGCGGCGTGGTTTAGTGTGTTTAGTTTAGTTGCCGAGCAGTAGTAAATTTAACAGACAGATTTTTTATCTGAAACATGTCATAGTTTTTGTACTTCTCCTGAACCCTGAACAGATTGCCCTCTTATGATGTCACCAAAAATATGCTTCAGTAATACTTTTGTCATTGTTTTAATGTAGACGAACAGCAAGAACCAATTAACATGGGATTTTCAGCTTGATGTAGCGTGAGGATATTATCTGTATGCTTCCACTGACAGCCATTTGCATCTCATGATTCTTTCACGAAACTTGTGCACTCCAGGTCAAAGCATTTTGACTTTGATGTGTTCAGTGAGCCAGATTATCTTGGCTTGTAGACCAGCAGTCTTCTTGTTCCAAGGTTAAGATGAAACTTTAACCCACTCATCAGCGACACAGATTAGTCCAAGCCAGTGGTGTCCCCTTTTGCCAAATTTGCCTCTAAGAGCTTCAGGTGGCCACACCTCTGCTGAGACATCGCTCACATCAAATATCCCTGAGAGTCATTCATCTGTTGTTTCCAGTGTAAACAATTGGACTACAATGACATTTATAAAATCTGTATTCTTTCTTTCAGAACCAAAGTGGTGCATCAGTTTGCACAGTAAATACTCAGTTCAAGTTCAGTTCATTATGCCTGCACTCGTAGGCAGACTGGTTAACGCCACATTCCTAAACAACTAACTAAAAGTGACAGCTGGTCGGTGCTCCCGGGCGTACAAGGTTAGATAACCCCATGCAAACAGACACAATGTCTCCTCTAAAGGGTTATTTCCTTGCAGCCTGTGCGCCTGTTTGAGGTGTCCAGTGTGAGTCCTTTGGTTTCGCTCTCCTGTCTCATGTGTCACAGCATGTTGTCGTATATAGAGGCGGTGATGCATTATTGAAGATGTCTGCAGGTTGCTCAGGCACATTAAGCAAACAAAAGTGCAATTACCTACATGGGAATGCATGTATAGGAGTCTAATTGCTCTGCATAGGCGATGACTGATAATGTCTCTGCAACTTAATGTCTGTGTTCCGGTTTTATCATGCACAGGAGTGATTTATTCACAGTAACTCAGCCAAACTGATTTAAATCATCACAGTGATCCTAACTGGTTTAGATAAGCAATCTTCCTTGAACATAAATAAGGTGATACGAAAGAAAAAGAGAAGTGGCCCTCCGCAGCACTGTGCGCTTAGGGCCTCTAACCAGCTTTCCTTTGTGTATGAATGGGCATCTATATGGGGAAAGGCTCACGCTGCAACAGTGGCTAATTCCTGCTAATCCCAGCGTATCTTCTACCACTTAGAGATGTTTCCCAATGGCAGCCCCGGAGCAGGGGAATTGCTGGTGAGATTAGCTCACGTTAGCTCCTCCTCTGTGGTTTACACTCAGCCAGGCCAGGCCGGCCTGCCGCTGCACCTATGCTAACCTTTTGCACAGAAATGGATTAATTATTTTTCAAAAATGTTCCGAGTCTTATTTAGAGAACAATGTAAGTTTCTTTCCATTTATTCTGCTTTTTATGTGGTTTTAGTTTCGGGTTGATTCAGTTTTGAATGTGAAACTTGTGAGGGCAGAAACAAGTTTTATGAAAGGTGTGCTTAGAGGCTTAGAGTTTGTGTGGCATTTAGCAGTGCTTTCCTTTACATGAAGATTTGGTTGGCTCTGACTGACTTTCCTTTGCACATTTCCTTGCAAAGATACAATCCTGTTTTTTTCTGTTATTGCATTTAATAACCTTGGGTTTATAGTATTATGTTGTGGTTTTGGTCGTATGTGATAAATGTTACAACACTGGTCCAAATGCACAAAGAAGAACAACATGGGGAGATGGAAGGTTTATTTTGAAATTAAGACTCTGCTTTGACTCGCTCTGAAAGTAGCAAACACACAGCAAAATTCTCAATTCTGCAGTTATCAGATACTATTTTTACCTATCTGCCTTCTTTAAATGACAACTTGTTAACTATGAAATTGGAGAAAGCCACAGATTACTGAATGCCATAGTCATTAAGATAAGTTTTTAGCAGCACCTGTGTAAAGGTTCTACATCAAATTCCACAAGCATATGCATCAGTGTTTATTATGCTTCCTAAATCTCCCAATAATAAAACCCCTTGATTCACCGTGAGTCATTCTTGCGCCAAAATGTCATCCAGCAACAGCGTAATCCTAAAGCATCATTTATCTGCACCTAACACCTAGCACACGGCGTGTTAAATGCAATATGATTGTAAGTAACATCAGTCCCAGAAATAACTACACACCCCGTCTTATGTGATACAGATGAGTGCTTTCAGATAAAGACAGTGCTGAGTCTTTTTTTGTTGCCTGAGAAAACTGTGCAACATAACATACACTGTCAGGAATTTATCACACTTTAAGCTCAAACCAGCCTTTGAAATTTACTTCCAAAGTCTCTCCAGTAACTAAGACCTGACTTAAACTGTTACAAGGCTGCAAAGTGAGTAAAGAAAGGTGCACGGACGGTTTCTGACTGTATTTAAATGTATTTTCTTTAACACTGTAACACCATGCAGCTCCATGAAATACTGTTACTATAGTGTTAAAAAATAAACCCCCAGCTACCACTGGATTATCCTCTAGTTAAACACTTGATGCTTCCAGTTTAATTCCCAAACAAACCAGCATGACTGCACTTTCAACACTAGACAAGGCCCTCATGTGGTTACACTGTAACTATTAGTAGGTAGTTAAAAGGATAGCAGTTTTCTGTGTTCTTCAGCAGAACTCTTCACTGATAAAACTAAGTTCTCACGTGGATTAAAATAAGTATAAGCACATCAGCCTGTGCACACTGCAGTTTCTATCGTTCTTATCTTTTCTAACTGAGACCCATGTGTATTTCTTTCATAGGAGATCTCTTCTGAAGATGTTTCCACAATCAGGGAAATCCATTGTCTTTGACAACTTTCCAGATCCCACTGACACCTGGGAAATCATCGAGACGATCGGGAAAGGGACCTACGGAAAAGTCTACAAGGTGCTCAACAAAATTGATGGAAGTAAAGCAGCTGTAAAGATACTGGATCCCATCCATGTAAGTTGACTTTCTCATCTGGAGTGTCAAAAGTTGAGTCAAGCATTGAATTTAGGTCCAAATATTCCATTATATTACTTCTGTTAGTGTAATCTAAGATCACATGTTTCCATACCATGCACGTGTTGAAGACAGTGCTCCTTAAAGCAGCTATAAGCTTGTGGTGTGTTTATGCCTTTGGTGGCAGCATAGGGCGGAAAAGTTATAGTGTTTATAGGATCTGCATTTTAGAGCTTTAGACAGCAACACTGATTAGATCTGGCCAACCATATTTTCTCTTTGCATCTACCTCACTCTTTCCTTTCAGTTGTTTAGTCAGTATATTTCTGCCAGATTTCATTTTATTGTCATGCATTTGTTACTTACTGAGGCTTTTGTCAATCAGTGATAAAAAGCTATATATCTCATTGGTTACTACTAGCACTTCTTTTGTGATATGGATCTGGCATTTCTGTGTGTGTTTTTGGGTTTAGGTTAGTGTTTGTGAATTGTATACTTTTCATTTTTCACAACAACACATGAATGTAGTGTGTGCTGACTGAGAAGAGTTGTGTTATTACATGTTGGGCTTTTGTGCCATACCCTTAGCTCAGTGAACTTAAATCAAAAGTGACCTGAGAAACTTACCCAGTAGTAAACAATGAAAGGACCAGACCTGTGTCACCCAACATTCCTGAAACCTTACAGTAGAAAGACCTTCCAGACAGGATGCAACCCTTTTACACAGTGGAATAGTAAGTGTAAAAAGTTCTGGAAAGTATGTTAAGCAGATCTCTGGTGATCTGATACACCAGCAGCAAAGCGAAGGACTCATTAGCTCAGCCGTAAGCCGCAAGATACACATCATGCTGCTCTGCTTTATTCTCTGCACAGGGCATTTAGAAAAGGAGTTTTCTTCCAACTACAACCATCAGCAAATTATCTCTGCAAATTGCTTCTGATGAATTATTATCAGTGGGATGTATTGTGGCGGTTCTCGGATAATTTTGGGCTTGTGCAGTGTTTTAGCATTGAGCCAAAACACATTTGGCACCTATGCAGGTGTGTGTGTGTGTGTGTGTGTGTGTGTGTGTGAAGCAAATTTGACACAGAGCAGGGATACATGATGTTACTTCTGGCAGCTTGAGACTGATTTATTTTCTACAGTGACTAGATTTATAAATTACACAACATTACTGAGCAAGAGGGACAGTAACCAATATATTGTTGTCATCTTAAATTTCAATGTAATCAGCAAAGATCACTAGTTTTAGATAACAGAACGATAATGGAAACTTTTGTACTTTCTAAAGAACAGTTAAAGAACATGATCATCACTGATCTGGTGTTATGGCGTGTTATGTTGTTTAGACTGATAATACCACCTCTGTTGTCTATTTTAAAGGTACAGTGAACTGTATGGCTTATTTAGCAGCTCTAATGAGCAGCCATTTTCATCTATTAAATCCAGCCGTCATGCTAAGAAAAGTCTCATTAGTCTTTTGTGAATTTGTTACAGTTTCTCATTATTGAAATGATTATCTACAGATCACTAGTCTTCGTTTTAATCACTGGACTGATTATTTCATGAACAGACCTACATACAGTACACCTATATTAAAAAAGTTTCCCTTTATGCTACAGTGTGCAAGGTTTCAGGTTGACATTTATGATGCATTTCAGAAGAATACTTGTGATTTATTGATATGACTATTTTTTGGTGTAAAGTACAGAGTTGTAAAAGCACTGTCCAGTATTTTGCTTCAGGTGCTGTGGATAGTAGCACAGTGGTATCCAGACCAAGACAAATCTGGGGAGTCATGCCAATATTTCTTTTAATACAATATCTCTAACAATAGGACTAGTGTGCGTCCCTTCTGGTGTCGAAAAGGTATTCAACGAAAACACTTTGAGAAGGGAAAATCACTTGATCTGCTTACTGTATGACTCAGACATTCAAAACCTGTGACGAGAGGGTCACATGTACACATTGCTTCGTTTTAAGGGGCACTGCAGTGGAGTACCATTGATGTGTCAAGACGTTCCTGAAAAATAAAGAATTGCTCTCAGTGAAATCCCCCCATGTAAAAGTAACTTGCCCTTTACAAATTAAACAAAAAAACATTCTCTTTTAATCGAACTGTCTGTTAGGAAATATAACATGTTAATAATGAGCTTTAGGGGTGTTGGTAGGCAAATTTATTTATTTATTTTTTTAACCTTTGGCAGAGCCAGGTTAGCTTCCCCCCCTGTTTTCAGTCTTCATGCTAAGCTAATCTAACCCCCTTCAGGTTCCAGCATCATATTTTCAATAGAGGAAAGAGAGTGGCATCGTTCTTCTTATCTAATTTGCACCAACAACTAAACTAAAACTACTTATTTAATCTAGAAAGCTGGTATCACCACCACATAAAGCATCACAAACATGGAAACATGGTTGGTAAACATGAGCAAAACGTGCCTTTCTTGTAATTTTAACTGCTCTTTCTCCTTGTTTTTCAGGATATTGATGAGGAGATCGAAGCGGAGTACAACATCCTCAAAGCTCTTTCTGACCACGCCAACGTTGTCAAATTCTACGGGATGTACTACAAGAAGGATGTGAAATGTGGAGATCAGTTGTGGCTAGCACTGGAGGTAGGAAAACCTATAATATTTGAATAGAAAAGCCACTATGTGTTTGCAACAACCCATATATTTGACTATATGACACCATAAATAGCAGCACCTGTATACTGTGCGCAGACATAGAGCGTATAAGTGCAGATTAAAGGTCTGATTGTACTTCACACAGCATGTCTCGCCAGGTATACGCAGTGGTGACCAGATCTGGCCAGGGATTATGCCACAGTTTAAGCCACCATGGGCAGTCTTGGAGTTTACTTATAGGCCACCTGGGGGATTTGGTCGCAGGCCAGCAACATGGCTGTGTTGGGGGTTGAGGTTGGCTCGCGTGTCGTGGTCACCCTGCTGAGAGCAGCAGAGCAGGGATTTCTGTTTACAGGGGCTGTCTCAGTGTATTAGTTTATGCACCTATCACATTGGAGCGCCGGACGAAGTGTCGCTGGTAGTTTGGATTTTGGGTAGAATACACTAAAGACACTGTATGTTGTTGCTCATTGTTGCTTTTATATATATTTTAGTATGTAGATAACAGTTCTATGTTTATTCTACTTATCTTGGTCAGCTTTGTTGGCCTTGTTTTAACTCCTATTTCTATCTACACCTGGTTGTGTACAGGAATGACTACATGCAGGTATGAATTTGTGATATTTTACGCAAGACTTCAAGGGGACCTTGCTGCTGCAGCTGCTTTCTGTACATCTAAAAAAGCTTTGCCTCCAGCTATCCAGTTTACCGTCTTTCATAAGTCATTGGCTGCTGTAGCCTTTTTTGAAATGTCAAGCTGTAGACAAAGATGTAATGGAGGTCAACCTCAGAGGAGGAAAAGTGTTTGAAGGGTCCAACACGGTGGCGGATGTGGGTTTTCTTTGCCTTTTGACTTTCTGACCATGTAATTTGTGTTCCTGCTTTGATGGGGAGCAGTACAAACCTGGAGATGTCTGGTAAACATGGTCAGAAAACTTGAGAGGGGTTGATAAGAAAGAATGCTGGCTAAGTGTCACAGCTAGCGCTCCCAAAGGTCTTTGAAGTAGTGTTTATGAACGATGAAACATATAATTTTTACTTAATGTTGTCACTTAATGCTGTTGTCAATATTGTACAGACAATTATGGTCCCCACTAGGCTTGGGCAGTATCAACGTATTACGGTATACCAGGTTTAGGGTTGGGTGCCATTGGTACCATTTGCTACCGGTACCCATCTGGGCCTTTTTAGTACTTTTGTAATTTTGTAAAGAAGTTCTCAATTTCAACATTGTTAGTAAAATAGAATTAAAAATAGTATAAAACGAACTACTCTAGCAATGAATAGAATATGAGGGCGGCCCTACTAGTACGTTGTTCTTGAATTTGGCACCCACTGATTCATGTGAATTGCTAGTCGGTAGTACCAAAGTAATACAGTTGGTACCCTTAAAAATACGAAGTTCGGTACCAAATCCTAACCAGGATACTGTATGTAGAAATCCCGATAGTACGACTTTCAATATAGTCAAAAACACAGATGCTCCTCTTTCTATTAAACTAATATGGAGGTGCTATATTTGAGCTGATAGATTGCAGTGTACGCCCTCAACGTAGGCGGGTGACACTGCGTGAAACTGCCTGACATCATGGACAACGCAATAACCCCCTTCCCATTTCTGTTATCCAAGCTCAACGGGCTTTGAATCAACAGCAGCAGTGTTATGCTAACCCAGTAGATAGTTTTCACCTCTCCAGCTTGTGTTTCTTTCCCTTTTCATCACTGTCCTTCCTCCTGACCTTTTGTAGAGCAATTACTTTGCTCGGTATCAAGTACAATATATGATACTGAATAATCAGACCACATGGTGCCTTCTATCTGATAAGATAGTTCTTATTTTGCACTGTAGTGGTTGGTTGTTGTGTATCATGTTAGGTTTTTCATTCAATTAGCTTTGCTACCTTCTTTACTCCGTGTTTCCTCTGTGGTTTGCATATTCATTTTCAACATTTCCCTTGCAAAACTCTGCAGCCAGCAGTCCAAGTCTGGTGGCTAATCCTGAGGCTGAAATCACTGCCTGACAGTTTAGTAAGTGGCTCTGTGTGTGTGCATATGTGTGTGCTCTTGAGTAGATGCACAAGGGGTTTTAGCAGTGAAGAGACAGGAAAGCAGAGAGTGAGGTGGTCATTCACCATGGTTACTATCCCTCCTTCCTAAACTGTAATTTTCCATCCTCCAGCTCTGCTGAGAGGAGCCTTTCTCTGCCCTGCACTGACAGCAGACCGCTCATTATGAACAGAATTCATACAAATTGCATCCTCTACTTTGTTAGCCCCTCATTGGGGTCTGCAAGCTTTTGGCTTTGCCTCTGTAGTGTGCTCCTTTATGATAGCGGATGTGGGCAAAGAGGAGCAAGCTTTCATGTATGAAGGCCTAATTCTGCTCCCAGAGTTTAAAAATACTTCAAAGATAGCAATGATGGAGCGACTTTTATTCTCTAATTGGAAATAACAAACCTGATTTGGATGTGCATTTATTTGAGCTCCCGTTTTTCATCCAGAGACCCTGTTATATGAAGACCAGGGATTATTGGACTAATCCCTGGTCCCTTTAAAAGCTCATCTGAAAGATGTATCTCGTCTTCCATTATGCAGAAATGAAAAGTCACTATGTCATAATGCTTAATTGAAATAGCATTACTCTGTGCCTATATTGCATAATTTAAAATGGTTGTTTACAGAATTTAACTGCTAGTTCTTTCACTACTGCTTTGTCGTTACTACCGTTGATAAAAATGCTAGTAGCAGCAGTTATTAGAGAATAAGACCCTGATGAGTGCATCTTGCAAATGCGAGATGCCAAGGGTGCGTTAGCAGTGCGCAAAACTCTTACTACCTATAGAAAACAACTGCAAAAAGATGCCTCCCACTGCAAAACAGTGGTCGTTCTGATCGGGGCTTAACAATTACACAGAAAAATGCAGTCAATTTCCCTCTGCATTAACAAAGTTTTATCTTATCTTCTCCTTCTAAAAGCTGGTGTTCCATCCATCTAATGCTGCGTTGGTGCTGCATTAATCAACAATGCGGAACTTCCACTTCTGCCAGTGTAAAATTGAATTGTTTGTGTTTTAGAGAGTCATGCGTCTGTCAATTCAAGGTCAGACAGTTCACAGAGAATTATATACTTACAAAATGTTTCTAAAAATGAATGCGCTCAGTCATTAGGAAATGGAGGAAGTAACTGGGCATGAAGGGGCATTTATCAGGACCAAAAGTGAATTGGCATCTTTAAGTGTTTTAGTTTCTGAGTGATGGAAAAACTCATCAGACTGTCTCTACACTATATTAAACAGAGTGGCTGAAAAGATTCATTCCTGATTAATAAGTCAACCATATGACATCCCACCCAGAGTTTAGAGACAAATAATTTAATGGCAGTGATTGAAGTAGTACTCAAATATTTTATTTAGGTAAAGTACAACTATCTAAAAATACTATATTACACATCCTGTAGTCATAATATTAAAATGTAAAAATATTAGTGTAGTAGCTAAATATACCTAAAATGTCAAAGTAAAAGTAACAGTAGTAACAGTAAAATGTATTATGATATATTATGATTACATTATTAGATTGCAAATACTGCAATAGTGTGTAAGTAGCATTTGGCTGTTGGTGGAGCTAGTTTTGCTTTACATACAGCGAGGTAGTTTGGTCCAGTAGTTTCCAGCCTAGAGGTCAGGCTCCTGCAAAGGGTCACGACACAAATCTAAAGGGTTGTGAAATGATTAATGGGATAGGAAAGAGGAAAACGTTCTGCTCCACAAATGACTTTTCTTTTCTCAAATTTTTGTTTTATTTTAAAATATTGATTTGAACCTTAAATTGTTAGTAGATTTGTTAGCAAGCTTGGGTAATATTATGGTATTTCAGCATACCAGGGTATTTAGAAATCTTGAAACACAGGCGCTCCTTTTTCTATTAAACTGATACGGAGATGTTGTATTGAGCTGATGTTCTGTAGTACTCTTAATGTAGGCAGGCAATGCCGCGTGAAACTGCCTGACATCATCGACAACACCATAACCCCTTTACTTTTCCAGCAGATGGTAAACAACGCACACACAATGGAGCTTTAGCTGCAGTCTTTATTTACTGACAAACTAAACTTCACTGCTCACATTTTCCTCTGCTCCTCTGCATTCACCTGCCGCTTGCTCTCTAATTACACATTAGACACACAGCATAGTAGGCCAGGCATTGTCATAGGTGCTAAAATGACTTGTTTCATCAGCTGCACAGCTTTTACTTTTTTGTTGTTGTTGTTTTTTACACAAATACTGTTATATACCGCACACCCCAGTGAAATATCAGGAAGGTAGGAAAAAATAAATACCACCCAAGCCTGTTGGTAAAACCCCTGTTTTCTTATTTTTTAGATAAATTGTATTTTAAAAACTTGTGTTTTTTTAATCTAAAAAATCTTAATCTGAAAAGTAATGAGTAACTGTAGCTGATAAATGTAGCCCCCTGAGATGTAGTGGAGTAGAAGTATAAAGTAGCATAAAATGGAAATAGTGAAGGAAAGTACACGTGCCTCAACATTTAACTAAAGTAAAGTACTTTAGTAGAAATTGTGCATTGTGATTTAGGGACTGGTCAAGACTGAGAAAATTATGAATAAAACAAAGGAGGTTTGTAAGAAAGGAAACGCACCTGCAAGCTTTAAGACAGATTTACCTGTAAGCATGACAATGGCTTAAAGCACAGAGCTGAGATAACACTGAACATGGGCCTGATCCAACAGGAGAACTTGAATCTACTAGATCTCATTGTCTGACAGAGCTTGAGATGATCTGAAAGGAGAAATGGAGGAAACCCTAGTAGACTTTAAGATATTATAATTTCCCATTTGGTTCTTAGGTTTTTTTCATAGTTAGTGAATCAAACAGGAAATAAAATATTTCTTTTTTATAGTATTTATATTGCAAGAATTCATCAAAAAATAGAGTCATAAATAAATCGCTGCTGCCTGCATTTATCCCC